AGATAACACAAGAGCTTTCTCTTCTACCTGTCCCAGAGAGCCATGACCACAGCTGAACCAGCTATTAGTACTTCAAACCAAGCAGAAACACAATTTTATGTGCAAGGATGACCCAAGCAGGTACCTCCCAACAGCAAAGGCACCCAGCTGGATGGCAAATAACCAAACACAGTGGTGGTTTGGCTGTAAACTCAAAAGAGGGGCCTCGCTTTGGGTGGGCAGCCATATTCCATCCCCAGTGACCACATTCCATCTCCACTGCAGTGAGAAGGTGCCTGGATCTGCAAAGACCATCAGTTTAACGAGATCAATCTGTTTAGTTTAATAAATAGGAGGTGAAGAAATTGCTTGAGCACTATCCAAAATACTGAAAGGCAGAAGAGATGCTGGCTGAAAGAGCTGTTCAGCTGGAGAGGGAAGGGTATGGAGATGCAATGAGGGGAAGAGTCCAGCTAAAAGCACTTGTGAGAATCCTTAGCACTGCAGTAATACAGAAATGGCTCTGACAAGTTCACCCTCGCTTGTAACTGTACATCAGATTGAGTGTTTGGGTTTTTTCCCTTAACAAATTGAACAGGAATAAATTAAGGGATGTGCTACAGCCTGTATTTTGCCGTGGGTTAGATCGATGATCCAAATGTTCTTTGCTGGCTTTACAGTCAATGAATCACTAAATTTGGATTCACATCCTCACCAAATGGATCAGAACCAGAAACCGAGGTACCGCTGCCCTCAGGGTTTAAGGGAATTTGTGTCTGGTTCTGAAGCAGATCTGGGCACTTTACTGAAAGTTTTATAACTGCTTTCTCCCTGCAAGCTTGATTGCAAGGTTTAAATTATTTTCTAAGCACCTTAGTTTTCACAAAACCCTTGTGATTGCAGAGAAAAACTTGCATGGTCCTAAAAGTTCCACAATTGGCAGACAAATAAAATTAACCTTATAACTGGGGGATTTCCCGAGTTATGATCTTCTCAATTTAGCCAAGGGGTTGTGGACCTTCTCCCTGACTTTTTGCTCAGCCAGGGCTGGTGATGCTGAGACAGTCTTCCTGGAAGAGTGTCCTGGCAGAGGCATTTTTACAGTGGGCACAGATATCTGGTTTCTTCCATCTTTTCAGTAACAGCCTGTGTGTGCTTCTCTGGCTGTTTGGCATTTGCTGGGAAAGATTACTGTGAGAAGGGGAATCAATAAATTCCATCATAGATGACAAACACGGAGGGAAAACATTGCTTGGGGTTGCCAATCAGCATCTGCAGTGGGGATGGATGGAGCATCCCAGGGTCAGACCCCCTGACCTGAAATGCTCCCACATGTGCTGGCAAAGCCCCTGGCGAGAGCTGCTCCTCCATCTGCAGTGGTGCTCCTGCCAGGTTCCCAGTCCCATTTCAGCAGTCTCCTCGCCTTGGAAGCCTGATTGCAAATCCTAAACAAGTGCTCTGTGATGGGCTGGCTCCCTGCCCAGAGACTGCATCAGAAATTCTGCTTGATGTATCAAACCCTCAGCTAGCCAGGGGAAGGGAGGAGAGCCTGGGGAGGTACAGAAGGGGTGCCACACACAACCCCAAGCACCAGGAGGTTCCATTCCCTTTCACCTGTGCCTTTCCAGGAGGGCTTTTCACCACATCCCGGTGGATTTGAACCACAGGAAAGCAGCAGCAAGAGGGACGCCAGATGCAGCAGTGGCTCCATCACCTTCCTGTCTACACAAGACCCCACTTTTCTTGGGACCTGTCGAGGTCGAGCAGCCCCAGGCTCCCAGCCAGGCCCCTTCTCCACAAGCAGTGCAGATATCATGGCAGCAGCTACTCAGATACTGAGTTTCTGACTAAAATCTTAAATATCAGCCCAAGGCCACTCTCACAGCAGAGATCTGCTCTGTGGGGTGACACGAGTCCTGCTGCAGAAGCTCTGAGGGCACCTTGGCCAGTCCCACCAGTCAGTGGTGCCTTTTCAGAGGGAGCAGTGGAGCTCTTTGGAGGCTGCCAGACCTATGGAACTGGTCCTTCACACCAGTTAACCATTTCCTTTCTTGGCAGGGGGAGAGGAGGGGTGGCAGTAGTGTGTCTAGGCAAGGATGCAAGACTCCAGAACCCCCAGCTTGTCCCTGGGCACCACGCTGGAGCTCAGGAGAACTGGAGATGTGGGGAGGGATGCAGGGATGAGCTCTCCTCACCAGGACACCACAAAGTTAGAACACGACCCCGAGGTGGCTTTGCATTTGGCCTCCTCATATGGCAACAGAAGGGTGAGAAAACCTTCCTTGTTTTTAAGCCAAAAGGGGCATTAGCCCTTTGCAAGGACCTAAAATATTTTGGAGTCAAAGCGGTCGGTTTTCAGGCTCCAACCCCGACAGAGGCTCTCGGGTCAAGAGACATCTGGAAACGGTGCTGGTCGCTGTTAGTCACCTCCTATTTCATCCTCGTGCCCTTTTAAATGGATCCTCTCTTCCCAGCGAGGGGCTGACCCCGAGGAGCCCCTGCAAGAACTGCTGACGTTGGCGGGCTCTGCATCACGCTGCTGCTATTCTGGCTCCTTCCCCGCCACGGCCTCCCCCCATGAGATGTCACAGCACGAGGACAGGCTCCTCCAAAGGCACAGGGGAGAAAAAGCAGCTACCACTGTGCTTTTCAAGCCAGTCCAACTCAGTCTTCACCCTCTCTGAAGGATGAACTTGTGAAAAACAAAAATCCCAAAACCTGGGGCCACGTTGCTGAGCTGTATCACGTCACAGTCAGCCCCTGCAGACAGGACGTCCCTTTCCTGTGGTGCCTGTGAAATAAAGTGTCCCTACATCCCCTCAAATGCTCCCTGAGAAGAAAGTGTCTAAATCCAATGTTTTCAATTTCTCCTACCAACCGAAAGTGGGATTGCTCAGTTTTAAGGGAGAGTGAAACACCAGAGTGGGTCACAGCCAGAGGAGAGGGTAATTAGTCACAAGGAAAAATAGGATAACTGGACCCTGTGCCAAAGGCAGAAGAGCAAGAAGAGTAAGATGCTCAGGTATACATGGCCTGGGCAAGCTGGGGCCAGGATCTGAGGCAAGTCACAGCTAGAGCTCATCCTGGTCACTGCTGGGACATTAGGGTGGGATGGGCCCTGCACAGTGGAGAAGCCAAACCCTTCAACACATCCCAATCTCCAGAAACAGGGACGCTGACCACCACCATGCAAGGGAGGACTAGCAGGAGAGCCAGAGGCATCCCAGCCTGTCTACACAGCCTCTGGGTCAAATTAGCACATGGAAACGGGGACAGCAGCAAGAAAGGCACCCAAGGGAAGGAGGATGTGAGAGCAAACTGCAGCAGGGAAGGTGACAGGACTCCATCACGTGGAGCCAGGGTCTGGTCAAGAAGGTGGCAAGGGGATGGAAATAACATCTTCAGGAATTGATCCAGATATTAAAGGCTAATACCTTTATGTTTTCCCCACCCATCAAACACCAAGGCAGATGACCACAGATTAAATAAAAGACAACACTGCTGCTATCCACCCTTCCACCATGGACATTCCTTTGGTGTGACTGCCCCAGGCAAGACCAGGGGTCTGTCCCTGCTCCATGGCTGTCCCCAGCTACCACGGTTACTCCATCCCTCTTAGACACCTTCTTGTGACATCCATCACCCGCAGCACCTGCGACTAAGAGGGCCAATAAGTGCAGCATCTACCCGAAAGGTCACTCCCTGCTTCCCAACCACTTCTGATGCAGGGAGCAGCCAGAGGAGGAGTCCCAGTGCTGCTGTCCCTTGTGACTAGGGCTGGGCTTTCCCAGCAGGGAGGGAGGTTTGCCACTCACCTAGCAGCAGGTTCATGAGGACCTCCTGGCCTGCCAGCGTGCTGCTCTTCACCAGGCAGATGAGCGTGCCCGCAATCCAGGGGATGCCGTGCCCCGTTATCCCCAGCAGGTTGATCATGGAGCGGGCACCTCCCCAGGAGGAGGCTCTGTTGGCACACACTCCCAGCCTCTTGGACATGCAGATATCGATGGCCAGCAGCGAGTTGAAGGCGATTCCCTTGAAGGAGGGGTTGAGCTGCATGCAATCCTCCTCGGGCAGCTGCTGCGACTGCCTCCGCTCCTTGGGGTTGGTGTTCTGGGCACCGGCTGCCCCAGCCTGGCCACTCTGCTTCCTGCTGGAGCTCCTGCTCTCCTGGTTCCCCTTCAAGGGCTGATTCAGGGAGAGGAACTCAGCCCTGTTGAGGACATTGTTCCTGTCTCTGGCCCTGGACCGTGGCTGGGATGCTGGCATTGCAGTCTCTCTTTAACGCAACCTGCTTTGCAAATACCGGGAAGGAGAGAAATCCCTCTTCTCCCTGCAGAAAGCTTCCCCCACTCCCACCCTCAGAAGCTGTGAATTTGGGAAGCTACAAAGGTTCCCCTCTGTTGCAGTTGCCCCCAGCACAGACTGCAGCTGTTAAATATAGAGTAAGGAATGCACATGGCTGTTTACTTCATGGGCCTAGCAAGCTTGGAAGGAAAATTAATGCCAGGCTTGGCAGCCACTCCAGTGCCAGGGAAAAGGGTTGGACAGCCAATAGATACGAAGAAGAGGAGGGAAAAACATTGTGCCAAAGGTTGGTTGCTTCTGGCCTGGTCTATTTAAATCTTCCAATTGCTTATTCCCCTGGGCTGCAAGGGAAACTGGGAAACGTAGTTCTTTTCGTGCTGCAATTCACATTTCAGTATCAGAGTCAGAGCTGGAGATGATGGCATCCCCCTGCTCAGGGCACCCCGTGGGGGGCTGTGCTCCCTGGTTCTGCAACACCGAGACCAGGTGTTGCTCAGGCACTTCCCCTCAAGGGGCTGTGCCCCAAATCGTCCTGATTAATCTGTTCTTCAACTTCTCCCCCTCTACCTGGGCACCCCCCCACCTCCTCCTGGCACGGATACCTTTGAATCCCCACTAACCCCATCCCCCCTGCCCTCTCAGGGTGCCCCCCTGGAGCTCCTTCCATCACTCACCCTGCTCCTGGATGAAGGAGAAGCATCACCTGCCTGCTGCTGAGCCGGGAAGGAGCTGCTGATGAATTCCCATCCTCCTGCCCCGGCGCTGTGCGTGGCCTCGATACCGCACGTGTCGCTGCCGTGTCCCCACAGCCCGGGCTGGAAGCAGGGACAGCCAGGCTGGTGTCCCCCAAAAGCAGCACAGCCACTGGCCCCAGCAGCATGGAAAGCTGTGCCAGGCCCTGAGGAGGACAGGGAATACCTGCTGTCCCTCCTGCCACGCACGCTGTGCTCCATCGCTGTCACCTCCCGGCTCCCCGCCGCAGCTGGGACCACCCCCCTGAGAGCATCCCATGGCAGCCTGCAGCTCCAGATCAATTCTGAGAATCATCACAGTCCCTGAGCAGCAGCTGGGTGGATCTGAGCCTCCAGCACTTCTGGGAGACCCCATCCATCTGAGCTGGTCCTGCCTGCAGGGTGACAGCCCGGCTGCAGCACCCTGAGCCAGCTCACCTGCACTGCCATCACCTTCCCTGCACGCTGGGCTCTCCACACCACACACAGGCTTCAGGAACAGGGTTACTCCTATGCAAATAGGCTGGAAATCCCCCGTGGATGGAGAATTGAAGATGGATATTACATTGAGGAGCAGAACAGCCACATCTCTTTGTGCCAGTGACATTTGTCTACACAACTGTCCAGTAACAGAGGTCAGTGGCTGCACAGGTAACCCTGGGAGTTGGGCACCCTGGTGTCTTTAAAGGTTTTGTGCAAACTACATTGGGGAGTTTAAGTGTTAAATAAAATCTAGTTCTTTGGCTACCAAAGATAATAACACAAATTTTACATTTTCTTTGCACTTTTATACATAGCTCTCAAAATTCCCTCAGTGAACTGTGCATCCAGGCTGTGCCCATGTGACTGACAGTTCATCCAGGTGGCAGCAGTGCTTGGACAAGCAGGTGTCCGAGGTCCTGAGGAGCCCTCACTCCTGGGCATTGTTCATATATTCCTCCCTCAAGGGAAAATAATACACATCAATTTATTTCTGATTCATACCCTTCAAGAACTTATCCCTGCTCAAGAGAGGTGATTCTGCCCCTCTCCTCTGCTCTGGTGAGACCCCACCCGGAGCACTGCACGCAGTTGTGGGGTCCCCAGCACAGGAGGGACATGGACCTGTTGGAGTGAGTCCACAGGAGGCCATGGAGATGCTCCAGGGGCTGAAGCTCTCTGCTCTGGAGCCAGGCTGGGAGAGCTGGGGGTGTTCAGCCTGGAGAAGAGAAAGCTCCAGGGAGAGCTGAGAGTCCCTTCCAGTGCCTGAAGGGGCTCCAGGAGAGCTGGAAATGGAGTGACAGGACTGGTTTCACACTGACAGAGAGCAGGGTTAGATGGGATATTGGGAAGTTATTTTGTCCAATGAGGGTGGGGAGGCCCTGGCACAGGTTGCTGAGAGAAGCTGTGGCTGCCCCATCCCTGGACGTTTTCAAGGACAAGGTTGGACAAGGCTTGGAGCAGCCTGGGATAGTGGAAGGTGTCTCTGGCAATGCCTAGGGGGCTGGACTAAATGACCTTTAAAGGTCCCTTCCAACCCAAACCATGTGATTCTATGATCCCAGCTGGAGGAAGAGCTCGTTCCCTTCTCAGGCACCCTTACCCAGCCCATAAAACCTCTCCTGGCTCAGGTACCACATTTAAAGGCTGTGGCAGCCCTTAAATCACACAAGAGCTGCCACATCAACACCTGATCCAGCCTGAGCCCTGGCTGTGCTGCCACTACCAAGGCAGTCAGCACCTCATCCCTACCTGCCTGCCCTCATCCCACTGCCCAGCATGTGGAAAATCCCAGCCTACCTGGCACTGGTCAGACAGAGAGCCATCAGCACTGCTTCCACTTGGTTGTAGCCATCACCTCCCCAGTGCATGGCCTCCTGGATTTTCCCTCCCTGTGCAAGGCTGCTGCTCTGTGGGGCTCTGCAAATAGCAGTGGGCAGAGGGATAAAGACACTGGTGGCCAGGACCCTGGAGAAACAGGGAGACTCCTGCCAAGTCTGGTGCTGGGGATGCTGAACTACAGCTTAACATGTTCCTTGGGATCTGTCACGGGTTAAAAAATACCTTGAAAGCCCTGGGAGTGAATTTAATCTGGTGCCTGTCTCTTCTGCTGACACTGATACGAGGGAATTTCTCTGCTCCAGCCTCCCTGTGAGACTCCAGCGTTGCACTCCAGCACCAGTCCTGAGCAGGAAGGGGCTGGAGGAGGAAGGGCAGCACGGGATGGATGCAGTGCCAGCAAAACCCCTGTCAGTGATGGAGTGGGAAAGGAAAACTGTCTGATCTGTCCTGCAGCCAGGTGGGCTGTCACTGACAGTCCCAGCTGCAGAAACTGAGCTCGAGAGGGAAAAATCCCTGATCCCACTGAGGCCATGACAAGCCCCATCCTGCAAAACAGCCACTAACCCAGGGGTTTATAAATATCCCTGCAGACAGGCTCCCTGCTCCAGGGGCTATTCCAGTCCTGACACATGATCCACAGGGGTCATCCAGCACCTGGGAGAACGCCCAGGCAGACAAATCCAGCGTGCTCCCTGTGCCCAGTCTGCTCAGCCCTGGCTGTGCTCCCCGCTGTCCTGACCACCCCCCTGCAGGGCTGCTGGTCCCGGGGCTGTGGCCACAATTCCCTGCACAGCCGTGGTGTCAGTGGCCGGCATGGCCAGGCAAACCGAGCTGGAATGTGGGTGGGACAGGAACGAGAGCCCCATCCCTTTTCTTTGCAATTCTCTGCAGCTTTGGTGCATCCCAACCTCTGTCAGCAGCTGGCCAAAGAAGCAGCACTTGTGACCAAAGGGCATCCAGCAAACCCTGCATGGGATTCTTCTAGGGACAAACAAGAAAGCTGGGTGGGATGTGCTAATGCCTTAATCACTCACAGCAGTGTGATGGAGACAGGCACGACCAAAACCCAAGGAAAACTCCAGCTGAAGATGAAAAGCTGATTTCATTAGAATGAGATAATGCAATTTCCTAGTTGACCAGAGCACCAGAGACAGCCAAGTTGAAGCAAGACCTGGCTGAAGCTTCAGTGAAACTAGAGTCGCAGAATATGCAGTTTCACCAGACTCATGATGCTCTGGGAAACTGTGACAAGCTTGTTTGAAAAGTGTGAAAGAGTCTTGGAAATGTCAAAGGATTTCAGCACCTTCTGGAGGCTGCTGGATATTTCATTCGGAAGATGCTAATTTCATTCTTCCTTGTACTACATGATAGTAAGTGGCTTGTAACTTGAGCGAGTTCTTAGTGTTTCTGTCACAGGACTAGTGACTAAATTGTGCCTTTCAAAGCAACTGGAAAGTTTAAAATAAATACTTCTCAATGCTTCAAGAAACACGTGAGGAGGAAAAACATGACAATAAATTGTGTTTTTTTCCACTTGCTGTGGGTGGAAAGGAGCAAATCTGTCTCCCCTCATCCTATGACATTCACTTGTTAGGATCACCTGGTAGCTCTGGTCTCTCCTACCTGCTAGGGGCTAATCCAGCCTGCTGAGAGCGCAGGGTGGGAAGGACTAAAAGACATTTACAGCAGCTCTGTGCTCCTGTGCCACACCACAAACAGCACTGGCAAAGAGATTTTTACCTCTCATTTCCCCAGGTTTCCTACTTAGAAACAAGTGACAGAGGACACACTCACCCAATGCCTGATGTCCATCAGCTATTGCTGAAAAGCCAGATAATTTCACCTCCCCTGGCGCTGACCCTCAGCCAGTGATGGGCAGCAGGAGCAGCGGGCAGCATTACTCCCAAAACTGCCCGTGACAGAAGTTTACAACTTTCCCACAGGCCACTGCTGCCTCAGACACTTCTCACTCCCTGTTCCAGCTGCTCCCGAGTCCCACTGCTGCTATGGAGAGCTTTACATTATTCATTGCTGGAATCACAGCCCATCCAGCCTATGGGTTCTGTAAATAAGTAGACAATCCCCTCTGGTGCTCTTTGGTTGGCACCAAATCTACCCAGCAGGCTCCAGCCGGGAGGGGAAAATCTTCATCCAAAAACCCAAGAAAAAGCACATTGCAAGTGAAATTAAAAGATAATAATAATAAAGGAGGGGGGTGGGAAAGGCGTTTCTAAAATAAAAAAAAACTACATTACCCACAATTCACGGATATGTAGGAGGAAATGCTGGGTTTTTTTGCAAAGGAGGTTTAGCCTCAACAGCTGCAGTTTAAAAGCGAAATACAGGGGGAGGGATGGGACTGGGCGAAGGAGGGAGGACAGGGCTGCGGAGGGGGAGCTCGGCCCCGCAGCCGGTGCCGCTGGAGCCGCGGGATCCTCGGGCATGCAGCGATCCCTGCCCGGGCAGCCGGCGGCAGCGAGCGGGCACGCCCGGGGGCACCGAGGGGCTGCGAGCGAGTTTGGGCAAAGTTTGACCCCGTTGCCTTTCTGATGGCGCGGCGGCGAGCGGAGCCCGAGCCCCCCCGCGCCCCCAAAATCCCCCGGCCAGGCTCAGACCCGGCCCCGGGTGCGTGAATGTATTGCGGGAGAGGAAGCCTGCGGCAGCCGGGAGGCGGAGGCACCGATCCTGCTCCGCTCACCTCCCCGGGCAGCCAGCAAAGAGGCGAAGGGAAAAAAAAACCTAACAACAAAAAAAAAAAAAAAAAAAACGAGAGAGGGAGCCCCCCCCCCCCGCCCCGCGCCGCTGCTCGCCCCCGCAGCGCAGGAGCCGGGGCTCGGCGGCGCGGCCGGGGCTCGCCGCGGCTCCCCGGGATGCTGTGACGCCCTGCGGGGCCCACGCGTGTGCGGGGCAGCCCCGCCGAGCCCGCCCATGAGCCCCGCAGGCTGAGCCGCAGCCGGCTCGCCCGGGAGCGCCGGCAGCAGCGGCGGCGGCAGCAGGAGGAGGAGGAGGAGGAAGGTCGGACACCCCTGCGGAGAGCCGCTCGCCGAGGAGAAGCAGCAGGAGGAGGAGGAGGAGGAAGGGGAGCGGCGGGGCCGGCGCCCCCCGGGCCGGTGCGTGGCTGGGGATGTCACGGGCGGCGGTTCCGCGGCGCTGAGCGGGCGCGGAGCGGCGCGGCCCCGGCGGGCGCGGGGGAGGCTCCATCGCCGCCTGCCCCGCTGCGCTCCCGGAGCCGCCGGCCCCACCGGCACCGCGGTCGCTTCCCTCTGAGTCCGGCTATTTCTAAGGAGAAGGAAAAAAAAAAAAGAAAAAGAAATTAATCCCCAAAGCTCAGACATCGCTGGCGGAGGAGCCTCCAGAATCGGAGATTTGGCGACTTTTTGCGTTTTCCAGGCGTCGCTTCTTTCTGTTATTATTGTAATTTTGTGCGAAAGGAAGTTATGAACAACTGCAAGTCAGGAAGTGGAAATCCACACCGGTTGTGACAAGCTGGGGCTAAAAACTATTTCATTATTTATATAGATCTGTCTATCAACATTCTGCTTTTCATCCAAAGAATAAAGGGAAATACCGGCTAGTCCTATGTTTGATGGTGAATGACAGACCGCATCTGAGCAAAGGAAGGACTAAATATATCAGCTAAGAACACCATCTTTATTTATTGAACTCAAGAGACTTTTTTTTAAACCCAAAGACTGTTTGAGCAACATTAAAAGGGTCATTAAAAGGGGGAAAAAATTTTAAAGGCCCTTTTGCTTCTGAAGCGCAGCTAACCTCAAAAATAGAAGCAGTACTTGTAAGACAGATATTCGAATTAAGGCTTTACATGATGAATTTTCTATCCTATGGATATCAGTTTTGAAATTACAAACCAAGAAGATCTGTAATTGATCTACCACCAGATAATTTCAATGCCTAATATTCCCCAGGATTGCTGGAGTACCCTAGGAGCTGCGTCGGACTGTACTCGGGGTATGCCATGGGCTGTATTCAGAGCATTAGCTGCAAATCCAAAGTTTTCCGGGAAAGTATTTCAGTGATTGAAGTCAAAGCCTCCATCGATCCCATTCCCACCAGCATTGACGAGTCCTCCAGCGTGGTGCTGCGCTACAGGACCCCTCACTTCCGAGCCTCTGCGCAGGTGTTGGTGCCCCCTCTGCCCAAGAAGGAGACCTGGATCGTGGGCTGGATCCAGGCTTGCAGCCACATGGAATTTTACAATCACTACGGGGAACAGGGAATGTAAGTATCTCCCAGAGCGCGTGCGGGTGCGTTTGCCTAGGGGGGAAAAGGGAGCGGGAGGACCATGGCCTGGTTGGGAAATAGTGAATTAAACCAAAAATTATAATACATATTTAAAAACCCAGCTACTCTGGAACTTAACAGGACTTTCCCATGTGTTTAAAATAAGGAAAGCTTGTCCCTGCCCTTTTAAAGCAGTGAGTATTCTTCTTTTCGAATGGGAATTTGCCCCAGCCCCAACCAAACCCCACTTGTTCTGGTAGGAGCCCAAAAGCAACCCTATTTCACAACAGCTTTTGGGCTGCACAGGAGATCCTGAAACCCCGGGAGCAGCCCTGGCACGACAGCTTTGATACACGTTTGACACAAATGGATCTCCTGACCTCCAGCTCCTCTTGCCTGCATCCCTCCCCATCCCAAAACTGCGCAGTGAGGAGCCCCAGGGAGAGCTGAGGGCTGACACTTGTGGCACGGAGCCGTCCCTGGTGTGCTGTGCTGTGCTGCTGCTGCTGCTGCCGCTGCTGCAGTGAGCCGTGGCTGAGAGCTCGGTAGCCCACCAGCTTTGGGAGCACATTTAACGTCACAGGAGGAATCCTGCTTGCTTTGCCCACAGTAGCAGGCAGCCCACGGGAAAGCACAAGCTGGATTTAACCCGTTGGTAGTTAAACCATCTGCATCACCTTGGAACAGGGTGCAAATTTCATGTTACTCTCCTTTTTGGGTAATGTGAAAGGGAATATATAGGTATATATGGGAGGTGGGAGGAATCCAGGGGCTGTTTGCACACCAAGAATCCCTGTGTTACTGGTCAGTCAGTCATAGTGAGACAGGAATGAGTCAAATAAGAATGTCACTTCCCTGCTGAGAAAAGTCATCTCTCCCCAGTCCCCCACCAGCTTGTTCTCCAAATGTTGCAGGCTCTGGCCCACAGCTAAATCAGCCCCAGCACCTGATCCCCAAATGCCTGCACAGAGCAGCAATTCTGCAACTCACAGTGCTGGGCAGCACCAGGTGCAGCCTCCTGGTGCAGCAGAAATGTGTCTGTCCAGCCGTGGGGACAGAGCCTGGCCGCAGAGCAGTGCTGGCAGATGGGTCAGTGCCTGGAGGAACTGATGCTGCCCAGTCCCTGGGGGTGAGGGAGGAAGGACGGCAAGGTCAGGTCCGAGCAATCCTGTCCCTTCTCATCCCCAGTGCTCCGAGTCAGGGAGATGCTGGCTCAGCCCTTGAGGGTCAGTCTGTGCAGCTTAAAAAAGCCCTGAATGAGGAGTGAGGAGGGAGGAAGGGGGGGACACGGCTGGAGAGCAAGGCTGACTTAATGCAGCGCCTTCCTGAACATCTGCACGCACAGCCCGGCCCTCCTTCCCTCCCCGCTGCCTCTAAGCCCCGCCGAGGACGCGGGATCAGCATCCCGGCATCACCCGGATCAGCATCCCGGCATCACCCGGAGCGGCTGCGGGATGCGGAGCCAGGGAAGGGCAGAGCAGGGCAGGAGCAGCCCGGAGCGACAGGACAGGCTGTCCCCCTCCTGTCCCCACGTCCCCTCTCTGCTCCAGCAGAAAGTTTCTTGAGCAGAGAACTGGCACCTGGCAAACACCAGCAGCGCAGGCAGGCTGGTCTTGATTTTAAAAGTATTTACAGCAGGCCTGAAATCTGTAGGCTTTTTGGCTCCAACAGCATCTTTAGCAAGGACAATTTGTTGCTCAGATGTTCCCAATTCCAGGCCTTTGGGATTTGCATGTGTAATTCTCAGGCTCATTTAGGAATCCTGTCTTTAGCGACCAGCTGCAAAGGAAAATAGAGAAGTCCACTTTATATAAATACAGCTCAGATGCACTGAAATAGAGAGGACTGGGCACAGAGTGATGCTGCCAGTGCTGCTCTGCTCTGGACTGCAAACCTCAGCGTGGCCTTTTATCTCCCTGCACCTGAGTTACCCTGTGTTTAAAATGAGGATTTGGTACAGCCTGCCCTTGCTGGAAAGTTTTGGGACCAAAAAAAAAAAGAAAAGAAAAGAGTAGTAGCTACTGCTATAAACAGGTAGAATTAAACTCTGCAGCTATGTATGAGAACTTTTAGCTAGAAAATCATGAAAACAAAAATTTTTCCCTAGGAGGTTCATTGACATTTAACTGATACAAAAAAAAAAAAAAGTTACCCGAACACAAGCAGGAATTGCTCTGTTCCTGCACTCTCTTTCTATAGACTCGGTGCCATCTGAAGGCTATAAATAAAGGCATTTAGGAGGAAAGGCCTCTTCAATGCCATTGAAATGTGGGCTTGGAAGACCTTTACAGAGAGAGACACAGGACACAAACCTAAGAGAAAGGATGGGCCAAGGCTTTATCTGGTGTAAGTGGATGTAATCCCAGTGACCTCCACAGAGCTGCCTCGATTGATGCCAACAGAGTCCCAACTTTCCATGGTAGGGAGAGGCTGATGCCACATCCATGTTTTTAACCCCTGTGGTGATCCCTGTGGCAAACAAAAAACCCCAAATAGTCAAAAATCAGTCATCCAACCGAAGCACCAATACTTACAGCAGGCTTTGGATTAATTTTTCACTTCTCTGCTGGGAAGTTGTTAGCTGTGCATAAGCTGGCCATTACATTGAGGATGGAAACAGCTGAGAAATACTGGAG